TTCAACAAGATCCAACACCATTTTGTGATAAAAGCTCTAAGAAAACTAGGAATAGAAGGAATGCACCTCAAAATTGTACAGGCTATATATGACAAACCTATAGCCAACATCATACATAACAGTGAAAAACTGAACCCATTTCCTCTAAAATCAGGATTGAGACAAGGGTGCCCACTATCCCCACTCCTATTCAACATAGTACTGGAATTTCTAGCCAGAGCAATTAGACAAGAAGAAGAAATAAAAGAAATACAAATAGGTAAAGAAACTGTTAAAATATCCTTATTTGCAGGTGACATGATCCTATACCTTAAAGACCCAAAAACTCTACCCAAAAACTCTTAGACACCATAAACAGCTACAGTAAGGTGGCAAGATATAAAAACCAACCTACAAAAATCATTAGCTTTTCTATACACCAACAATGAACAAACCAAGAAGGAACACATGGAAACAATACCATTCACAGTAACCTCAAAAAAAAAAAAATCAAATACCTAGGAGTAAATTTAACAAAGGACATGAATGACCTTTACACGGAGAATTACAAACTCCTGAAGAAAGAGATCAAGGAAGACTACAGAAGATGGAAAGATCTCCCATGCGCATGGATCTATAGAATCAACATAGTAAAAATGGCTATACTACTGAAAGCAATCTACATGTTTAATGCAATTCCCATCAAAATTCCAATGACTTTCATCACAGAGACTAAAAAATCTACCCTAAAGTTCATTTGGAAACACAAGACACTGTGAATAGCCAAGGCAATATTCAGCAAAAAGAGCAATGCTGGAGGTATCACAATACCCGACTTCAAACTATATTACAAAGCAATAGCAATAAAAACAGCATGGTACTGGACAAAAACAGACATGAAGACCAGTAAAACAGAATAGAGGACCCAGATATGAATCCACACAACTATACCCACCTCATGTTTGACAAAAGTGCCAAAAGTATACGATGGAGAAAAGACAGCCTCTTCAACAAATGTTGCTGGGAAAAATGGTTACCTGTCTGCAAGAAACTGAAACTAGATCCATGTCTATCACCCTGTACTAGTATCAACTCAAAATGGATCAAGGACCTAAATATAAGACCTGAAACTATGAAGTTATTACAGGAAGGAGCAGGAAACACTTTGGAACAAATAGGTATAGGCAAAGACTTCCTCAATAGAACCCCAGCAGCCCAGCAACTAAGAGAAAGGATGAATAATGGGACTTTATAAATTAAAAAGCTTCTGCACAACAAAAGAAATGGTGTCTAAACTAAAAAGACCACCCAAAGAGTGGGAGAAAATATTTGCCACCTACATATCAGACAAGGGACTGATAACCAGAATATACAGGGAACTTTAGAAACTAAACTTTCCTAAAAATCAATGAACCAATTAAGAAATCGGCAACTGAACTAAACAGAACTTTTTCAAAAGAAGAAATTCAAATGGCCAAAAAACACATGAAAAAATGCTCACCATATCTGGCCATAAAGGAAATGCAAATTAAAACCACACTAAGATTCCACCTCACCCCTGTTAGAATAGCCATCATCAAAAACACCAACAACAACAAGTGTCAGCGAGGCTGTGGGGAAAAAGGAACCCTAATCCACTGCTGGTGGGAATGCAAGCTGGTGCAACCACTCTGAAAAAAAACTGGAGACTTCTTAAAAATCAAAACATAACCTGCTATATGATCCAGCAATCCCACTCCTGGGGATAAACCCAAAGGAATGCAATACAGTTTACTCCAGAAGCACCTGCACACCCATGTTTATTGAAGCACTATTCAAGATAGCCAAATTATGGAAACAACCAAGATGCCCCACTACTGATGAATGGTTCAAGAAAATGTGGTATTTATACACAATGGAGTTTTACTCAGCCATGAAGAATGAAATCTTATCATTTGCAGGTAAATGGAGGGAACTGGAGAACATCATTCTGAGTGAGGTCAGCCAGGCTCAGAAGACCAAAAATTGTATGTTCTCCCTCATATGCGGACTTTAGATCTAGGGCAAATGCAGAAATGCTGTTGGACTTGGATCACATGACAAGGGGAGAGCACATATGGGAGATATAGGAATAGGTAGAGTGATGTCCCTACTCTAGAGAAACTAATACAGAAACCATAAAAGGACAGGTTATCATGAGCAGGGGATCAGGAACCAATGTAAAGATCAGTTAGAGTTGAGTCAACATGGGTCGTAACACATGGGTACACGAAAGCAATAGTAGGAATCTTTCTGTATAGCTATCCTTAACTCAACTAGCAAAAACGCTTTGTCTTTCTTATTATGCATATGTCCTTTCTTCAACAAAATCAGTGATAAGGGCAGAATGGGACCTGCCTGGAACAAAAGGAGGGAGGGGGGGGAAGGGTGGGGGAGGGGGGAGGGGTGGGGCAGGGGGGAAGGGAGGGGGAGAGGGGAAGGGAGGGGGAGGGGGGCAGGGGGGAGAAATGACCCAAAAAATGTATGCGCATGTGAATAAATGAACAACAACAACAAAAGACAGCTACATCAAACCCAAACAACATTGAGATTCCACCCCACGCCATCAGAATAGCTATCATCAAACAACAACAAATGTTGGCAAGGCTGTGCAACCACTATGGAAAGCAGCATGGAGGTTCCTCAAAAACTAAAAGTAGAACTGCCATACGATCCAGCAATATGACTCCTGGGCATATGCCCAAAGGAATGTAAGCCAGGATACGATAGAGCCACTTCCACACCCATGTTTATTGCAGCCCTATTCCAACACAATAGCCAAGCTTTGGAAACAGCCCAGATGCCCTAAAACTGATGAATGGATTAAGAAAATGTGATATATACATATATATACACAATGGAGTATTACTCAGTCTTAAAGTATGTAGCAGGTAAATAGATGGAACTTGAGATCATCGTGTTAAGCAAAGTAAACCAAGCTCAGGAGGACAAAGATCCCATATTTTCTCCTATATGTGGAAGCTAGGCCTAAAGATATATGTGTACATAATACATATGATATTATATATGTATGTAAATATGTATGGAGAGAGAGAATATAATTGTAACAGTGGGTCTGTCCAAGGGGATTACTGGGAGGCAGGAGAGGAAAAGAGAATGGACAATACTGAAATACATTGCATCTGTGTATGAAGATGGTGTAACAAAATGCATTGAAAGCTATTGAATAATAGGGGAGCAGGGTGATAGAGAAAAAGTAATCTTTTTAAAGTATGATGTATAGATGTGTGAAATACTAAAGCAAAACCCCTTTGAACAATCAATACACACTTTAAAATATGAAGGACAGAAGGTAAAATAGGTCCTGTCTGGGAGAGGGTACCGATGGGGGGAAGGGGAGGGCAGAATGGAGAGGTTACGTGAAGGAGAGCAAATGTGTTGGGTGTATTTTGTATACTTACATGAAACTGAACAATGAAACCTGCTGAAATTGTTCTAACAAGGGGGCAGAAGGGGGATGAGGGAGAATGATGGAAGGGGTGAATCTAATTATGATACATTGTAAGCACATTTGTAAATGTCACAATGAACCCCTCCCCAGAACTAATATATGCTAATAAAAAAAGATAGCTACATTAGTTTGGGTGTTCAATGGCATTTATTTCTTCATCCAAAGCAAATGTTAAATGTGAGAGTGCTTTTCACATGGGTATCAACCATGGAGTTAAATGTTTGTTGTACTAAATAATGTCAGATGCCTAGAATTCTTGTGCTGTATAGATGAAGAGCAAAAGACTGCTATTACCAGTGGCAATTTATTTACAGCTCTGTCAAAATTATGTGAAAATATGTCTCTCCCATTTGTCCTTTATATAGGGTGTGTGTGTGCTGTATGAATTTTCTCATACAGATTAGTTCAAATCTAGTCTGGCATAGTCTGATGAGCTGAACTCCATGAAATGACCTGTAAGTGGTAGGCTATCACCAGGAGATGATTGCAAGCTCAGCTTTTTGCCAACAAGGCTGGGATTAAAGACATGACAACAGACTTCAGAAAGAGGAAAAAAATCTATCCATAATAAAAAAGCCAGGAGGAATCTTTTCTTCTTACCAAGAAAACCACTTATATTCATTGTTTACTGTCCTAATTTGAGAAGTGGAAGACAAACTAAATTTAATTTTAATTTTTACTCATTTCTATGTCTGTTTTCATTATTTCTCTAATGCAAAACATGCACTGAACAGTAAAAATCATGTGTATTATATCCAGCAATCACCTTGTCTACCAAAATGCCAATCATGTAATACTATATTGAAGCCAAATGAGTTTAAAATATCAGATACTCTACTACTGAGCTACAAAACCAGGTCTCACTAATAGTTCCTTTAAAAATCTTCTGAGCAACACTAAAACATTATTATTTATAAAACTTATCATGAAGGAAGTTTGCTTATAATTTAAATAAATCCTTGTAACACTTCTGATTTCTCTCTATTGTCTCTCACTTTTCTGGAGACTTTAAATAGAATTAAAAGCTGACAACAAAATATCCCATTACGTGTTTCCATGTATGCTACATCTGAGCAACAGAAAAGGTTTCCCTGTTATCTCATACAAAGATCTAAATTATTGTCTGAGAACTGGAAATTAACCCCTACTTTATAAAAAATACTATTTTAAAGGTATATTTAACACCATAATCCTTCAAAATCAAAGCATAATATTGAAAACCAATATACTTGTATTCCTATAAGAATTTCATCTTTTGGGGAGACAAAATCTTAAAGAGTACCAAAGAGCATTTTCTATTGCTTCTCAGATCTTTTTATTGACATTAAAGCACAAATACCCTAGTCAAGTACTCTGTGTGCCAGGCTCTGTGCTTACCCAAAGATTAAAAAGACAATCAATTTGTAGTGTCTATAGACCAAGGCACACATAGATTTAAAAACAAAATTGGATACTAATTCAGGTAACCACATCAACCCTAATGAAAAGGTCATAGTTCATCTTTTGAAAAAAATTGCCTGAAATGATTCCATTAGTCACAACTTCCCTTTTTCTCTGCAGTAATACACCAGTTGCCATGATCGTTGCCGGAGCTCAGAATACGGAGCTCTGACACATTCTCCTGCAGCAGGTCACACAGCTCGTCTTCGCGGAACACGTGGTAATAGCGCATGAAGGCGCTGGAATCCAAAATGTTGGGCTGTTGTTCCTCAACAGAAATTGTGTCATCTGGGTTGGAATCTGTGGAACTGACTGCAGAAATCCTTCTCGATGTTGTAGTGGCAGAAGGGTGACTTTCTTCTAAGTTCCTGACACCCACACAATTCTCGTAGGTGTAAGTGTTGTCTAGCAGGTTACCCCCTCCATTTCTCCTGCTTTCTCCTTGACGGTCCTTATTTAAGTGCTTCAAAGTGCCTGGTGCTCTCAGCCACTCCAAGTGTTTTTGAGAAGTTTCCACAAACACTTCCTCGTCCAAGTTTGACTCTTTCGCTGGAAACGCCTCTTGGGGATCAAAGTCTAAACTAGAGTGTTTGGAAGGCTGGATGGACACAGTGCTACCAGCCCAACCTTCTGGGTCTCTCAAGGGTCTCACTCTTTCAGTCTGCTTCCTTAGAGTTGACTCATCCAAAGATCTGGAAAAAAACCAGGAACGAAAAGATTTTCCTAATGTGTTATAGAATCCATTTTCTTCCTCCCCTTCCTTTGACATATTTCCACAGCAGGTTCTGGCTGTGACAGACCCGTAGTCCATACTGTGGGACCGCTTTGAATCACAGTGCTCCTTGAAACAAACAGAACAACTATACCCAGAACAAGGAGGTTGGTAGGGATGGCTTGTTTCTGGATGTCCACACAGTTGCTTTCTCCCAGACTGGCTGGATTCTGAGAAGAGCCTGGAACAGAAGGCCCTGTTCCATGGAACGAGCACGTCTTGCTTCTCAAAGTGTCGGTTCTTTTGTTCCATTGCCCAAACATAAATCATCAGCTGGCCTCCAGGAGCTAAGACCCTGGCCATTTCTTTTATCGCTCTGATTCTTCTTTGTTTTGTGGAAAAATGATGTATGACTGAAAAAGAAGAAACTAGATCTCAATGTGGATACACACATAACTATATACACTTATGTACTAGATTTTCCATTTAACAATGATGAAATTTTCACACATAGTAAAATCTCCTTATTTTCTATATGGCAGGGCAGATGAAAGAAATAGCACTGGCCTGACTTCAGGAGAGACATAATTTTTGGTTTCAGTTTCTATACTTATTAGACAGCTGTTCTTAGGCAAGTTATTTAAGTTCTATAAATTTTAACTTTTAAATAATCTGTGAGATCTCTTCCAATTCCTAAATCCTGTGAATTTTGTTAGTCAAAAGGATGACTAGTGCGATTCACTAACACTTGAAAGGGATGATAAATTAGGTAAGTGTTCTCTGGCAGGATTCTAGAAATTAATTCATTGCTTTAATGAATAATTGGCATTTTTATTTTTAGAAACAGTAATCAAGCTCATTAATCACAATGTCTAAAATTAATAAATCAAATACAAGCAGAGAAAAATGTTGAAGTTATTTTTCTGGCTATATTATGCAAGGATAAACCAGTCAAACACAGGTCCAGATGACTGTTTTTTTTTTTAATGTTAATATAGTCGTGCATATTTTTAAAAAATCAATTTATAGGTTATCATTTTACTTCTAATCCCTGGAAAGTCAAAGTGAAATTTGAGCAAGATTGCCTTTATCTAGTTGTGTGTTATTAGGAATATATATATATATGCAAATATATATATGTGCAAATATATATATGCAAATATATATTTATATATTTAGTTCCCAGCAATGTTAAACCAAGGATCTTGTGCATGCTAGGCAAACACTGTACTACTGAGCTACACCCCCCAGCCTTATTAGGTATATTTTTGACCAACAGTATACAGAAAGTGATAATCTGTTGTTTCCTGGGGGAGTTCAATCATAATACCGTATCAAGAGAAAACATGAAATTATTTTTTTTTTCCGAGTACAAGCCTACTACATTTCTCAGAGAGGAAATTGGTTCCAAGCAAATATAAGAGACTGGTCCTGATATGAGAAACGAGGGCAGAGAGCAGCTGAAAGGTTCACTATGATCCAGCTGTAGGACTGATTGTAGGCGAATTAATCTCTGCTGTTTGCCTGCCACAGAGATATATTAAATATCTAAACTGAGAGTCTTGTATAGAGAAAACTGTCAAGGGAAAATCAATCACCACGCACACTGTGCATTATTGTCCATCAGATTTGCATTCCTATCAACATTGTGCAAACCATTGTCCTTACTCTACCATTGCAAGCAGTGTGAGGTAGAGACACGAGGGTAAAATATGGATGAAGAACAGGCCACCATTATATTTAATCCTAGATTTATCAGTAACTAGCCTTGTGATCTTTGAGCAATTTCTCTATTTTACTAAACCTCAGATTGCTCCTTGAGCACCAGGAAACAGCCTGTTATATTGGTGCATTTGAAAGCATAATTGTCTAGAACTAGCACACTGGTCACTGAGGTAAACAGAGGAATAGGGATCAGGACTGAAAAAGACTATCTAGCAATACTCAGGATTGTTCATACCTTTCATAACTGTACCTAGCTCACTCCTGAATTTTTGTGCTGAGACAGGGTCTGGCTATGTAGCCTGGATTTGTACTTGAAACTCCCCTATCTCTGCCTCCTGAGTACTAGTCTGCTGTTCCTAGTTTTTTTCAGAATCAATTCTGAGAAATCCATACAACATCACACATAGTATACTCTAGAACTTCTGTGGGTACATTTTCTAAACACAAATTCTCATTATTCATGGATTCTGTATTTGCATATTTTCCCACTTGCTTAAATTTACTTGTAACCCCAAAATTAACAATCCCTGCCTTTCATGGTCAATCACTCGTACATGCAGAGTGGCAATTTGAGCCTCCCAAGGTAGATGCATACCAACTTTAATACAGCAAACAAATGTTCTTTTTATGGCCTATTCAGTGCTGTGTTTTCTTTGCATGTTTGTGCTTTTGGTTGTAACTTCACTATTTCAAACAGACTTCAAGCCCAGTGCTGACCTGCTGTCTTGTGCTTCTAACACAGAAGGCCTCATGGGGAAAACACATGAGCTAGATGAACTTCCTCCAGGTGTAAGTTATAGTGCTGTTGGAATGTGTTTAAAATTCAATAAAGTGTCTTTAAACAGAAACACACATAAAATGAGGTTACGTATTGATCAGCTGACAAAAATGTTACGTCTAGTGGTTTTCAAGAACGTGATTCTGTATTCCTTCTGGGATTCTATAAGCCACTGAATTAGCTAATTTAGTGTGCATAGAACTTTTACAGAACATAACTTCTGTGAATAATAGTAATTTACTGTATTTAATTTGGAAGGCCATAGAAGGAAAAAACCCATTAAAATAGCACCATTTTAATGCAACAGTTGTTTTAAGTAGACTGATGGATCTTTAGCATTTCAAGATTTCATTGGGCTTCAAAAGAAGTGCTTTTATAAAGAAAAAAGGACTGCATTCATTTATTGATGAATAAGCAACAATTTTTTTTAATCATTATTCACCCAGAAAAATCTAAACTAAAATACTGAAATTTAAAATTTGAATTTGATTTTAAATTTATTTTAACAAATAATAAGTAACAACCTTTAAGCCAAATGTTTTGGAGGAAAGAAAAAGGTTACAAATGAAAATTTCATCATTTTGTACAAAATCTGTTATCTATGCATATACATACATATTCCACTAAAAAGCATTGTAAATGTAGGTGTAAGGATATTTTTATCTGAAATGTCAATGTTGTGAAACTTGAGTTTTTAAAGATGAAAAGCAAACATTTTGTTCATAAATCATAATCACAACTTCAAGGCAAAAACAGTACTCCACATATGTATCTTATGGTAATATTTTCCTGCTGAGGAACTGGAAAATCCAAAGGTTGAATTCAATTTTTGGAGTCCAGAGTCAAATGGGGAGTTATACAAGATTACCCTAAAAGTCCTGGTACTTCTTGATGATTTATGATTCACTATTCTTTAACTTTTCAAATGTGTAGGTCTCATCTCTCTAAATAGGCAGGGTTTATGGGTTTAGTGTCATGCAGGGTTTTTTAACCACAGTACTACTGATACTTGGGGCTAAATAATTCTTTATTGCAGGAGATTCATCAACTAGATGACAATAGCAGAGAGACCTATACCCATTGTGACAGCTAAAAACATCTGCAGACATTAGCAAATGTCCCTTGGGGGACAGGGGTTAGCAGCAACATTAACTCCCAGTTGAGAACCACTGGCATAAAGCTTATAGTTGATTGAAAGTATTTTAATATGTTGTTAAATTTTACTAGAGTTTTTGTCAGACTGTTCTAAAGACAGTTAAGAAGAGTGTTTCTTTTTTGTATATGTCAGTAAAATATAATTAATGTATAACTAGGTATGATACTTCTCTCTCATAAATGAAAACAAGAAGCAAAAGAAGAGCAGAAAATGTATTTCTTCCTGTCAAGATAAACAAGAAGTGTCAAAATATAAAATCCTAAGTAGGGAAATAAATCTATATGGATATAGGAGTGAGTCTATTGAAATTTCTCACAATTTTGTGTTAAATGTAAAACATAACTGAAAATGACCATTGATTTACAGTTACAGTTCATCAAAATAAAGGCCTATGGGAGCATTTTTAGTTAGAAGATAGTAAGTAGGTGTGTTAGTACATTTCTGCTGCTGTAACAGAATACTACAGACTGGGTAAATTGTAAACAATAGAACTTTATTTGGCTCATGGATCTGGAGGTCCAAGATCAAGGGACCAGATTCTGGCAGAGAGGAACACAGGACAAGGAAGTGTATGTGAGACAAAGAGAAAAATCTGCCTCACTCCACCTTTTATTTGGAGCCTCTTTCTGTCATAACTAATCCAATGACAACCTAATAGCCTTCATCCATTCAGGAGGGTAGTGCAGTGCCTTTTTAACCCAATCACCTCTTCAAGTTCCCACTTCTTACTATTATTGCAATGGCAATTAAATTTCAACATGGGTTTTGGAGGGAACACTTAAACCATAGTGTTAATGGATCCAGTTATGATCCATTTTCTGTGAGAGTAAGGCATAATAGAGAACATGTCCCATAAGTGGAAAAGCGAGTCATTGTCCTCTTTCTCCAACAGTGGTTCAATGGCAGAGCCTGATATAGGTGGCCTGGCAGGCCCTAAAACTAATGTCAACCAAAAGAGAGCAAAGAGCCATACAATTCTCTGACCTTACTTTGATTTCTAGTTCTTTACACAGAATTTCCAAACCAAAATTTTTTCCAGTAAGTTCAAAGCACTGTATAATGTTGCTTAGTTATACAAGAATCCATTCCTATGCTTGTCTCCCCACAAGATTCACACCCAAGCCCTACCCCACTGTGATATCAAGAGGTGGGAGCTTTTGGAAGTAGTTAGGCTTAGATGGGGTCATTAGGGTGGGAGCCATGGTCACATTAGTGCTGCTATATTAAGATACGAGAGAGCTTACTCCCCATACTCTCCTTTTGCCATGTGGAGATACAGCAACAAGGAAGGAAGCAGCAGCTATCTGCAAGCCAGGAAGAGAGCCTCACCATAATCTGGCCTTGCTGGTACCCTGATCTCAGACTTTCAGTCTCTAGAACTGTGAGAAATAGATGTCTGTTGCTTAAGCCACCCAGTCTGTGATGTTTTGTTGGCCTGAACAGACAAGAATTCCTCTTAAAACTTACAATGAAAATGGACCTAACGGTTTCAAGTGCAGAGAACTGACATGTCATAGGGTATGTTCCCATGGCAACGATCTCTTCCCGATTCTAACCAGTTCCAAGGTTATGATATCCAGGCCTGCATCCCCTCACTATGCAAAGACAGTTTCCATCTACTGTTCAACAAATGAACCTCTCATTTATTTCAGGAAAAAAGCAAGCAGTCTTATTCTGTAGGAATAGTAATCAGCTTTATGTAAGATCACCTTGCTTTGATGAAGCTTTTTATGTCCAAAAAGACTAAATTTTAAAAGTGTATTATATTCAAGTAGACTAATTTTAAGTCAAAATTTGCAAAATATTTTTCCATTGCTAAAAAATTATCACAGATTTCCTTAAATACAATGTTTCCTACCACATTTAACTGATATATTAGGTACCCAGAAGGCATGCACAAGGTGCAATGAGCCTTGCCTGGATTTTATTTTGTCTGGCATGTGTTTTCCGGACATCCTTGTTGGGGGGAAATATGAGAAACACATTTCTTAAACTCTTAAACAATCTCTGTCCTTATAAGAATCATGCGAGGTGGTACTGGGTAGGAACATATTTTCCAGGGACTTGAGTACCAGTGAGAGGCACATTGGTCCAGGTAGCATTTGGAACACTGGACCTAGAATTTCCTGTTTAAAAAGGGCTCTATTATATCCTGAAAACTGTAATATGACACCTAAAAATCAGCTTCATGTTGGAGGAATCTGGCTTCATTTCAAAATAACAAAGTACTAAATGAGTATGATTCCTCTCTTTTTTTGCTCATAAGTAAAAGAAATGGGAATGAATCATCAAAAAGGATACGGTAACAGTTTGAGAGGATAGTTTAAACAATCCTAGTACCATAAGAGCACTTGAGATTGGTCAAATTACTCAAGCAGTTAAAATGTTTTTTAAAATCAGATAAAATAAGTCACATAAACCTCTCTACACAGAATGGATATTGAGTCATGAGAGGGGCCTGAACCATGTAAGTTTTTCCCATGGCAAAGTGTGAATGTGTGACCCGGCTGCCTTACCTCCTATGGAGATGATAGCATCGAAGCCCTGGTCCCTAAAGGGGAGATTAAGGTTGTCACATACCATGACTTCACATCCTCTATTCCGTGCAATCTCTACCAATGGCCCACAGTAGTCACAGCCCAGGGTATGTACCTGGTTGTTCACTTTAAGATACTTTCCAGTTCCACAACCTATAAGAGAAAAACTGTGTTAAATGCTATTCTTAACAGAAAGAGGAAAATTCAATATAAACTTTTTAAAAATTGTGTTACTGGTGTTTGGACTTTAGGGTCTCTCATTTCTGCCCGGGGCCCAACTCAGACCTTCATCTTCCTATGACACCCAGTTTATTGGTTAAGATAGGGACTTGGTAACTTTTTGCCCAGGCTGGCCTCAAACTGCGATCCTTCTGATCTCCATCTCCCCAGTAACTGGGATTACAGGTGTGAGCCACCACCCTGGCCAATATAAACTTTAAATAACCAAAATAGAATGCAAATGTGCAGGCATTCACAAAAGCAAAAGAAAGGCCTTCAGAGAATACTTACAAGTTTTCATACAGAAGAAAAGAGCAAGAGAAAGGGAAAAAGAAAGAGTGTGTATTGCAGTACTGAGGATGCAACCCAGGGCCCTGGCTTGCTTAGGCAAGTGCTCTACCACTGAATGAATATTGAATATTCATTGAGGAAATGCCCAAAGGGCATAGGTCATTAGTATAGCTCAGACACTTCAGCTGGCCCATCACTGGGAACAACAATTTCAGAGTTCCAGAACTGGAACAGAGGGCGTGCAGCCTGTTGACCTTCCATACTTATTTCATTATGTATGTTATAGCATTTGTTCTCTTGTGTCTCCAAAGATTCTTACCACTTGCTGACTATATTAAACAAACTACTTCCAACAACTTTTTGAAGACTACAAATAAAATAACATACAATAAAACATGCTCTTTAATTTTTAAAAATATGAATGTGAGTGAAAAACGAAGTCTAACATTTTTTCATTCAATCTCATGCTAGTGCTAGGTTATAAATGATAGCTACAACTCTAATGATCAGCTTTTAGAAAAGAATAGACCATTTCTGACATTCAATATCCAGTGGTGAAGATCTAAGTCATTTAGTATTTATACAACTCAAAGGTTAAAGATTGCCCAAAGGTAAATCACATTGTACCTATATATGATAAAACAAAGAAGTAATATGAATGAGTAATTATGGTGAAACAATGCCTTGTACAGCTGTCATTTATATTCTTCTTACTCTTTTTCTTTCCTCTTTCTTTTTCTCTTTCTTTCTTCCTTCCTTCCTTTTCCTTTCTTTCTCTCTGTCTCCTTTCCCTTCTTTTCTTCCCCCTCCCTCTTCCCCTGTTTCTCTCTCTCTTTCTGATATAGGTATTCTCCATGGTGGCCAGGTTAGTCTTGAACTCCTGGGCTTAAGTGATCCCCTTGCCTCAGCCTCTGAGTAGTTGGGATGACAGGTGCATGTTCCTAGTATTATATTCCCTCACAGATATTCTGGAAACATTCCTTTCCAGAAATGTTTGAAGGAATCATTAATCTTGGTATTTGTACCTAGTGGAATTATTTACCTATAGATTATTTCTGCCTAAAAAAAATATCTACCAGCATCCAAGACAATTAGTTTCCTGCTTCTGAATGCATCATGACAGTCTTTAGTAACTCTTCCTCAGAGGCAATAAAAACAAAACGAAGACTCACTAATACCAGCTGAGATGAAGGAGAGTATATAAATAAAAAGAAGATTTCTAGCAGTACGATTTCGGTCTTAGAAACATTTTAAATCTTGGCTGAAGGTGTAGCTCAAGTAATAGAGTGCCTGTGTTGTAAACGTGAAACCCTGAGTTCAAACTTAAGTCCCACAAAAAAAAAAAAAAAAAAGAAACATTTTAAATCTCATGGCCACTGTTCTTAACTGATGAGAAAAAGTTTCCGTTAAGTGAGGGCAATTGTGGGAGAATATAACTCACGATCTATTTCAGAATTGAAAACCTGTATATTTCAAAGATGATAGCCATGGTACAAAAAATAACCTTGCAAACCTGTTTGCTTTTTTACTGATTTGAGAGATACACTGGGAAAAATGAAAGGGGAAAATCACTGCAACAATACTAATAAAAACATTTTCTTAAACCATGCCAGAAAGAAATATTCAGAAAGCATTTGATAAGGAAGAAACTGAGGTCATTTCAAGTTTAAACAGTGCTTGATACATTCCCATTGTCCTGGACTCCTTGACTTATCCCGTACACATTTCTAATGGCATTCATTTTTAAGGGTAGCAGTGGAACTCTCAAATATGACACAATTATCATTTTCTAAGTGCATACCCTGAAATGCTAGTGAGGGGACAATTTTATCCTAATGAGAAAATCAAGAATATTGATTTTCAAGTTGTGCCATTAACTTAAGTGTAACTCAGAACTTTAGTGATACTGTAGCAAGCTGTAGCCCCAATAGATAATCATGCTTCTTTACAAGATCTCATTCAGTGATAACCTTGCATAGTACTCAAGAGATACCAGCCAGAGTGTTCAAGCTTACATTCTCCTCCACTTTGCACTTGACACCACACTGTGGCTAAAGAACAAAGCAGATAATTGTCTCAAATCCACAAAATGTTTTGAGTCATCATGAGCAATTAACTGATTATGAATGTTCTCCCCAAAGTTTGTAGAAACAACTACGTTTTTTAAATTAGGAGCTCCTTGATAAGATTCCTAATTCCTAAAAGACAGTCCTCCTTTTCTAAGAGAAAGGAAAGCTATATACATTTTATATGCATTTCTTGAGTACAGAGGTGAGGAAATATGTTTTATTTCACAGGCATGGTGCCTGTTATATAGGGGATGTTCTAAATTTTTGTTGCCTTCACAAAACAATGATTGTTAGAGAATGATTTAGTCCATTAAAAATGACCACCAACACTGGGAATAAACTCACTGAGAGTTAAAAGGCAAGTGGAGTCTTGATTATTGAAAAGTTAATTTGTTTTATTATGTACATGAAAGTAATGTTTTCAGTACTGTTAGGACATTTCACTCACACAAAGAAAATCTTGGTAAGGAAGAATCCGGCTCTGGCCTTCCTTCTACCTTGTAAACTGATCTAAGTAAAAATCTCAAACCACACAATGCCCTCCACACACTTAAAGTGACCAGCTTATTTCAGGTAAAGCTATCATAAGTGCACAGCTCACAGTGTTCCTTGAGAGTGCAAGGGTATTTCTGCTCTTCGAATCACTGTAGTTCTTTTTGTTTGTGCTACTGCTTTTCCTCTTCACTCCCTAATTCCTGCACTTAAAACTTGATTTCCATCCAGGAGCCATTATCACACACCTCAGCAAATAATTTGCCTGGGGCACAGGGTGATATGGTTGATAACATTTTAGTTAACTAAAAGTTTCCTCGCTAAAATAATGAAACTGCTGAGAGAATTCCTGCCTGGACATGTGGAACCTGGGTCCTTCTGGTTTTTTTTTTCTTTTTTTTTTTAACAGTAGTGTTTTACTAGTAATTAACTATAAATCACTAGTCTATAACCAAATTCAAAAGTGTAACAGTGATAATTTTAGCTAAGCAGAAAACCTAGAAACATTTCCTTTTGAAGATATTCATAAAGAAGTCACCCACACAACAAAAGATGGTCTCTGAATGGAAGAGACTACCCACAGAGTAGGAGAAAATATTTGCAAGCTATACATCAGACAAAGGACTGATAACCAGAAGATACAGGGAATTCAAAAAACTGAACTCTCCCCAATAAAGAAATGGGCAACTGAACTAAACAGAACTTTCTCAAAAGAAGAAATTCAAATGGCCAAAAAACACATGAAAAAATGCTCACCATCTCTAGCAATAAAGGAAATGCAAATCAAAACCACACTAAGATTCCACCTCACCCCTGTTAGAATAGCCGTCATCAAAAACACAACCAACAACAGGTGTTGGCGAAGATGTGGGGAAAAAGGAACCCTTTTACACTGCTGGTGGGAATGCAAACTAGTGCAACCACTCTGGAAAACAATATGGAGGCTTCTTAAAAATCTAAACATAGATCTGCCATATGATCCAGCAATCCCGCTCCTTGGGGATATACCCAAAGGAATGCGACACAGGTTACTCCAGAGGCACCTGCACACCCATGTTTATTGCAGCACTATTCACAATAGCCAACTTATGGAAACAACCAAGATGCCCCACTACTGATGAATGGATTAAGAAAATGTGGTATTTATACACAACGGAGTTTTACTCAGCCATGAAGAAGAATGAAATCTTATCATTTGCAAGTAAATGGATGGAACTGGAGGACACAATTCTGAGTGAGGTTAGCCAGGCTCAGAAGACCAAAAATCGTATGCTCTCCCTCATATGCGGACTTTAGATCTAGGGCAAATGCAACAATGTTGTTGGACTTAGGTCACATGACAAGGGGAGAGCATATACGGGAGGTATGGGGATAGGTAGGAAACCCAAAACATGAAAGTGTTTGATGTCCCCACTGCAGAGGAACTAATATAGAAACCTTAAAGCGACAGAGATCAACACGAGAAGGGGACCAGGAACCAGTGTAAAGATCAGGTAGAGATGATTCAACTTGGGTTGTAACACATTTGTACATAGAAGCAATGCTAGGACTCTCTCTGTATAGCTATCCTTTTCTTAACTAGCAGAAACTCTTTGTCTTCCTTATTATGCTTATGTCTTCTCTTCAACAAAATTAGAGATAAGGGCAGAAAAGGTTCTGCCTGGAAGCGAGGGGGGGGGTGGGAGGGGAGAGGGAGGGAGAAGGGGGCAGGGGGGAGAAATGGCCCAAACAATGTATGCACATGTAAATAACTAACTAACTAAAAAAAAAAAAAAGTCACCCCAACCAGTTTAAAAGAAAACAACTGCTTTCCAGCAGATTAAGTTATCTCCCCCTGTCCTCTGGGGAGAAAAGTTGCTTTTCTCTATCTCCTCCCATCCCACCCACACAGTGGTAAAAGCAGCTTTTTGCTGTCTTCTCCTGTCCTCAGGGGAAAATATACCGAACAATTAACTTCAGAGTTAGCTACTCCTGGGAAAAGGAACTAAAAAAGATGAGTCAAAAGACTTTCTAACCAGTAAGTTTTCTTCAGTGCCTAGGACATCCACTGACCTACAGACAGTGTAGCAGAAAATCAGGCCACCAGAATACTGTAACTACCCTGGTGCCCACCTGATAGGCCTCCCCACAAGCCCCCATAAAAGCCTTGTGCCTGTAACCTCCAGAACAACGGCTGTCTTCTGGGACAAAATTCTCCATCTTCCAACTTGCTGGCTTGCAGTAAAGTTTCTTCCCTCTCCAGTCTGTCTCTGCATTTCCTGGCTTCATTGTGTGGCAGCAAACGTGGTCCTTTCATGGTTACAGTATTATCAAAGCTGTGTTTTCTCCTACTCATCCTTTTGGACTTCTTTTTGTTGTTTTCTTCTCTAACTTCAGTTTTATTTTAAAATATATTCTTCATTTCGTAATCAAAACATCACTGTTCATTGAATGGTTTAAAAATGCAAATTGTAGAAAATTAAAATGATCAAAAACCAGGCCGGCAATGTGGCTCAAGTGGTTGAGTGCTTGCCTATAAGTACAAAGCCCTGAGCTCAAACCCCAGTATATCCCAAAAAAATGGGGGGGATCAATAAAGTATTTCATACAGATGTAATTGCTGATTTGAGCAGTGTTATTCAAAGAATATTACTTTCCCATGATTTGTAGTAGCAAAATATAGAAAGTAACATGTTTGTTAATGTGACACTAGTAACATAGAATGCTATGCAGTTTTTAATTCTAGGCAACTCTGTAGAGTAAGCTGGAATGAGTTCCAAAATATATTGAAAGTAACAAAAGCTAGATGCATATACCTTACCACATCTTTGTAGACAACAATGGGAAATTCACCCATACACATAGCTAGAGACACAAAGTGCTTATCTTTACACAAATAGCTCAAGACCATACACAAGAACCTGCTAGCAAGGGGGGCCTCTGCTGTGGGCTACTTGGTGCAAAAGGACTGGGATGGGCAAATGTTTGTCTTTACTCATCTTTTGGTACCTTTGAGACTGAACCCTGTAAGTAGATCACCTAGCAAATTTTTGTATTCCCCTCTACAGAACTGTTGGTTAATATACTTTCATCATTTTTCTTTGGGAATGTTGGCATTTTCTTCTTTTTTCCTTTTTCTTGGCAGTAGGGTTTATTCCTCATGTCTAACAGAAACTAGGTACCCTTTATCCAACATCTCACCTTTCCCTTCATCCTCCTAAGACAGATGGCAGGGACCTACCTCCCCTTGGGGCATTGGCGCAGGAGTCAAGCATTTTTAGAGCACTGTTAAATCACTGTTAATGTAATGACAAGTCTTTACTGCAAGTCTTTATTATATGCCTTTGAATGTGCTGACTTTTGGGTGCTGGGCCAATGCAACTCCCTAATTGACAGCTTGTTAGATCTTTCCCTGGAGCCCCAGCTGCCTTGAGCAAAGGACTGACAGACAAGCAACCAGATTGCCCTCACACCATCACCAGATGCTTTGAACACTATGGACACCTTGAGGAAGCTGTGTGACCACCACAGATTGATATGCCAAGGCACAACTCTGGCTCCTGAAGGCACTGCCCCAGTAAACAGCTTGTACCCAACTTTTCCCTGTCACAAGCTCAGTGAACTCTAGAAGACCCTACAGTCATTTCCACTCAGGTCAGAAGGGGGAGCACTTCCCTTGGTAGCCCAAAGGAAGGCCTGTGACTGGTGTCAATATAGTCCTTCATTTACATGAAGGGACTGCCATGGTTGGTGAAGACACACCCTCATCACACCAGCGTTATGACTGTATAAAAGCAGGCTGTTTGGCTCACTTTGGGAGTCAGCCAGGAGACATTCTCCTGTGCTGCCCTCTGGTATTGCAACATTAAGCCTAATAAAGGATTCTCTCCAGTGATCTTCTCTTGTCTGCTTTTGATTTCTATCATCAGTGGAGTGGCAGCGGCAGCGGTAGCATCCAGGTAAAAGCAAAGGAGCTGGGAGTGGTGGGAGCAGCAGCAGTGGCTAAGATAGTGGGGCCAGCGGTGGTGGGAGCTGTAACAGTTGCTGCCCCTGTCAAGTGCTATGGACTTGACATCCAGGACACCGGAGCTGTAACATTTGCTGCTGTAAGGCTCACGGTCTGGCACCTGGTGACCTTATAAGAGTTGTTACAATGGACATGTTGCTACTGGCTGTCACCTACAGCACTTTGTTGAGGATTACAAAACCCCACCAAGAGCCTGGGATAACTGGAAGAGCTTCTCCTCACCTACCCATGAATCCTATGCAAGCAGAGCAGAGGGAACCCAGTCAGCTGATTGGTGACACTCCCACCCTATCCCTCCCCCAGCTCTGCCCCTGGTAGCTATCACTCTACTTCCACAGTTCAATTTTTTTTCCCATATAAGTGAAATCATGCACCATTTGTCTTCCTGTGTCTGGTTTTTATCCCACTAAGCATAACAAACCTCCATGTTCATCCATATTGTAGCAAATGATGGGTGTAGTGCTTTTCATACAAACTTTGAAAAATGCCCAAAGATTAAGAAAATTTTGCATTTTTCTAACAGATGTATTGCAGATGTTATTTTAGTTTGATTTTTGTTTTTTTAACGTCATTTACATATTTATCTAGATTTTCATTTTATAGAACTTTTTCATTTTTATGGGGTCAAAGTTATCAATACAGCTTATCCTCATCACTGAAGGATTATACATTTGCTATTCACCCACTTGCTAAAATTTATTTGTAACCATAGTCAATATTCACAGCATCTGTGTGTTCACTCTGACAAGTGCGCTCACAAAGCAGCAAAAAATGAGTTGCCTGAGACCTAGGTACCTTCTTGTTTCAGCTCTCACCCTTGCCAAGGAAGAGTGTGAAAGTAGAGTGGCACTGGATCTGGGCTCTTAAATGAGTAGTAAGGCCTTGCTAAACCAGGTTTTAGGATCTTGTATCTGATCTTTTGAACTGAGAGTCTGTAGGACTCACCCAGGTACATGCTGGCATTGTGAACTGGCCACCTGCAACTTACTGAAACTGACATTTGCCAGCTTTTCTAACACCCCCTAGATTGCCTAATTCCTTTCCCATCAGCTCCCGCTGCAGCATTCATAATCCCTGACAAACAAGTAGTATAATTAACAATCCCCCTGGCAGTTTAAGCTATAAAAATAGCCATTATCTTGTAAAATCCCAGAGCACAATCTCAGAGCTACTTAAATTAGGTTTCTCCTGGATTTCAATATAATTCTTCTTTGTCCTTGACTAGATTGAGTTTATCTCAGTCAATACTGTAAATAATTATTCTTTTTCACAATCTATTTACTGCCACTTTTATTTATTTATTTCGATTTGTGGGATTTGTTGGTGATTTTGCTTTCTCAAATGGTCCCCTAGCATGTTCCCAAACAGGAGGCTACCACATCCCTTATGGACAAAATATGTGAAAGATTAGCTTTGTTCAAGCATGAGTAACAGTGTGTTGACTGTGAGTTTAATGTTAATGAATCAACAACATATAGTAAATAAGATGTCTTTCAATAGAAACACAATGAAGCAGGTTATATATTGATAGGGTGATAAAAATGCATGATCAAAGCCTTGTGGAAACCTTTCTTATATTTCCCCTCAGGACAATGATCCAGGATTCATTAATCCAATGTTTACAACAACTTTATAAAGCACCAGTATCCTGAGTGATGACAATTCTATTTTATTTCATGAGTGTGTGTGTGTGTGTGTGTGTGTGAGATATTGAAGGACCTTTTGCCTTGAAAATTTTAAAAATAATGTAATTATTGTCTAGTCCTTCAATAATTTCATTTTCTTACACTTAAATCTTTGCTTTACTTGGAATTTACTTTGGTGTCAGATGTGAGAAAAAGTAGCTACCTTTTTTGTGCTATTGTCCCAAAGCCACTTACTCAATAGTTCCTTTCGCTCCACTGATTTGAAGATCCTGGTTCCTTTTATGGATTGTGGGGAGAAAGAATTCTGAACTCACTACATCTTAAAAATCCGACCCCCCTTCCCCACTTCTGTGGCACAAGAGATGGAACCTAGCGTCACCGTCAAGCAAAACATGTACTCACAAAACCACATCCCCAACCCCTGAAACCAGATTTATTTTTTTAAAAATTGAAATCATAGAGCTCTTTTTCAGACTTCCAATTTCAATGTGGCATGCACCGCTTCCAAAATTCTTTAGTGCTCACACCATCCTGAACAAGTCACAGCTCTGGACATATGTCTCTCTTACCAGTATTGAGTGATGTCAAACTACACTAAGCGTTTGCAAGAGATTTACTATTCTTTTAGGCACAAAGTGTAATTGCCAGAAAGCAGATTTAGGTAAGCATGCCTGAAGTGGGAATCCAACCACATCTCAAATCCTAGTTTTAAATTCACTGAACTGTGGTTTACCACAGTAACTCAGATAGATACTGAGCTAAAGTCCTCAAGACAAATCATTAATTATGAAAATTTTATCTAATTGAATTTATGCTCTAATAATACAATGCCAGTAAATAAGGGACAGGATCAATGAGATTAATAAGAGGATGCAGGACTTGCTCTGTCTCTTGTATAGATGACATGAGAACCACTCAAAGTGAGCCGTCAGTACAAAACACATTTTACAAATGTGAATGGCTCTAAACTTAAAACACAATATCATAGTTATTTTCATCCTGATTTAATCGATAAATGTTAGGTCAGTTTTGGGGGAGGATGTGTACAAAGGCCCTGACAGATCACCACAGTTCAAAGGTTTGAAGATGTATTCTGAGTGATGAGTTGACAGTATAAATTTGTACTGTAAAGTGAATATTTTAGGCGCTGGCATGCCAAGGATAGAATTTCAGGCTTCTTGTTTGGAAAAAAAGAGAGAGAGAAATAAATGAAATGGACAGGCATGATGGAATATATTTCACACTACACGGCACAAGCCTAGGTTACCTATGTCAGCAATGAGGCTGCCTGGCTTCTGATCTTGGAGGAACTGGCGGACACGAGGCCAGGCTTTGCTCTGCAGGTCACTGAAGTACTGAGCGGTGCTTTTGTATACATCATGCACGTGCTTCTTCTCCAGCCTGGCGGCTTCAGGATCCATCCTGGGGAAAGCAAGACCAATGCAAACATGCAGGTCAAAGAAGGCATCAGATCCTGCTGAAGAGGGACATAGACTTCCCAAGATTGGGACCCACAACTGCACAAGTTGTGCTTTCTTAGACTTTCTGAAAGCTGTAACAAAACCACTGTAAGCTCACTCTAGTTGCCAAAAGACTAACAAATGCATAGTTTCCAGAGAGTATTTGAGGATGGACTAGTCATTGTAAGTTTCTGTACAAGATCAAGTCTTAATTTTGGAAGCACAGTCAACACTCTTTCCAAATGGTTCACTTTGGATAAGATCATCCTGTCTGATGCTAAGTAGATTTTGAAATTTTGTAACACTCATCACTCCAATCACGAAGTCCTATCAAGTCTACCTTTTTAATGTCTTTGGATTCCAACCATTTCTCTACATCCATTGTTGCTTCTAGTTTAGGAGTACTTCAACGGTTTGCAAAAGGTTTTCTTTCTTTCTTTTTTTGGTGGTATTGGGGTTTGAACTTAGGGACTCACACTTGCTAGACAGGCACTCTACCACTTGAAACCTTGAACCACTCCACCAGCCCCAAACAGGTTTTCTGGCCCTTCAATGCTTTCACCTCAATGAGAGCATAACTATTTAAATCTACATAACTGAAATACAAATCTAATTGTGTTGTTTCCTGTATTAGACTTCTTCAAAGGATGTTACAAGCTTGTCCAGTCACCAATGTTTAAGTCATCAATGTTCTTTCTGACATGACCTTAACCTACCTCTTAAGGTGCATTTCTCATGGTCTTCCCCTACATAAGATGAGCCTGTAATACTCAATGACCCATGGTTTCTCAGATGTGACACAATCCCTGTCATCAGGGGCCTGAAGAGAATCTGAGCTTTACCTGCTAACCTTCTAGTCAGTCTTGGCACAGGCATCACCTTCTCCAGGAAGGCTACCTTGTCATGCAGGACAAGGACAATCAGAAAGGAATGAAAAAAGTAAAAAACAGGTCTGGGAGACCTCCATTGTTTAGGGTTTAGTCCTTTATTGTGAAGGTATACCCCAGGGAAGTAGCCAGAGGTTCAGTATGATTTTTACTAATTAATATGAAAGATTTTTCAATATTTTAAAACTCATTTGGTCCCACTGGTACTTACCAGCTATTTGATCATACACTTTCTTATGTATTATTGCAACCATGCATATCTCTGAGGATCACAAAGTTCTGTCATATTTGTATTTAGAAATGTGTCTTTCTCCCTGTCTGAAGGGCCCTAGAGAACAGGGCTTATGTCACTTAATGAAGAGTTTCAAGCACTTAGAACATAGTAGGCTGTCAATAAATGAGCAGACAAACATCCAGAGCTAGAATGGAAGCTAACTTTGAGTACAAAAGGCACCACTGGCTTTGGTGGGGGAGGGAGTAATTGTCACTCCAGGAAGAGCAGCCTACACCTGCAAGTCCGTATGTGGCAGTGTGAAAAGAGAAAGTATTGTCCTTAGACAGTCTGTGCTCCCATCCCCACCTCTCCCTTGGCAGGTGGGAAGCATTGGGTAAGATGGTGCGCTAAATTACTTCATTGAAAAGTACCTTTTCCTTTTTACATTTAAGAAATATCTCATGGAGATACTTTGAGACAAGTATTGTTTCTCATATATTCACCTACCAGTTGGTTCCTGCATGAGGCAAGTGTACCTGCATTTACCACCAAGTGAAGCTATTCTAGTTCTGTTAGTCCTTCCCCTACAAGAAAGAGCTTTTCAAGATCTATTCTAAAGCAATAGGGGGTCCTCCTTTTTACTCGGCAAGTGCTCTACCACTTGAGTCATTCCCTGGTCCTTTTGTTTTTAGTTCACTTTTCATATAGGGTCTCATTAACTTTGAGACCTCAAATTAGGTTGGCCTCAAACTACAATCCTTCTTTCTTCACCTCCTGCATATCTGGGATTACAAGTATGTACCACCATACCCAGCCTTCTAGCAAATTCTTAACAGAGTACTAAATCTTATTTGTGAAGTCTGATAAAACTATCCACGTTGAAACAGCTTATATGACATCCTCAGCTGGGATTTACAAGAGACATATAGCTGGTTTTAACTGTCCACACAGGAGAAACATTCAAATACTCCATGCTTTTCTTTTAAATCTCTCTTGCATCAGCACCCAAGGAATCAATCAGGCAGAAGGAGAACCTGAGAACAAATACATTTTACTTTACTGTACTTGTAAACATTAAGTGGCAACTGAGGCAGACTGGATTCCTTCCCATTTGCATTTTAAAGTGCTGACAATTTAAGCACAGAATTTGTAGTATCTTAACAGCACTCCTTGGAGATCATTCTCTTACATTCTCTCCCAAATTGCCTGGCCTCTGCCACAAGCAAGTAACCTTAGAAACTGCTGTCTTTAAATGAATGAGCAATCCATTTCATTTTTATTGTATTTTAGTTACACTGAAATGCTGCAGTTAATCATTGCCTGGGGACACTGATTTATGGAGTTGGGGCTATCCAATCTGACGTTTTTGGAAACTCTGTAGGTTTCAATTTCATGCAATATTTTTCATTTGAATTTTATGTGCTGTATATAAGGAAATTCCTTGTGAGTTTGGTAGCATGATTAAGTTAGTAAGACTTGTACTAAAATAACAGCACAGGATTCTAGGTGAAGCAAGGGATGTGGTGATTAGTTTAGTTAGGCTCTTAGTCTGTGTATTATCAAATTCTAGGCCTGTAAGATACTCTGGATAATATGTTTCACTATATTAAAGCCTTTATTGTATTCCTCCTTTGACATCCAAAATGTATGCCAGCATAACTTGTATTTTCGGAAATCCTACCAAAAGAAGTCCCAATTGTCTTTTTACTTTTTGTTGAGATACGGTCTTGCTGTGAAGTCCGGCTGGCCATGAACTCACCAAGTAGCCCAGGCTGACTACGAACTCTTGATCCTCTTCCCTCAGCCTCCCAGAGTGCTGGGAGTATAGGCGTGCACCACCATACCTGGCTATCCAATTGATTTTTTAAAATCCATTTTGCCCTCAAAATCATTAGGCCTGTAACACCTTTCTTTCTTTAAATAGCTCTTGCCTTCTTAGAGAAAATATTGTACAGAAGATATTTTGGGAAATGCTACTTTTATGATTTCCAATTCAAGAAAGTCTTCAAAACAAAGGAAGTACTCAGAACTTTCCCTGAGTATCGTATTACATTGAATTAAATACACATACTTTTAATGAACGCTATGTGACCGCACACATTTTAACTAAAAACCCCAGCAGATTTGCTCATAACTGTTGAGACCTGAAAGGCATTGCTTCTGAGACATATGCTAGGTCCCCATTACACTGCCTGGACCCAGGGTGAAAACTGGACCTCAGGGAACCAGTCCATTGGCGGGGCTGTACCAGCCTTAAGGATCTGAGCCAAAGGACCAGCAGAATCAGGTCACTGCAGGCAGTTGGGTGTGGTCACTTAGAGTCTGTGCTTGGGAGCCCATTTTAAACCATGCACGTAAGGATCAATAAGAGAGATTTGCAAAATAAATGTAGCCATAGGGGGAAATGCAGAATGAGTGATTGTGATGTTTCACAGAACCACGGTGGGGAGAGAGGCTGAGGAAGGGGAAAGTCTGGCATCAGATCTGCTAGCTGTAGTTTCTATGTGGAGATGAAACAGCCTCGGCATCACTCAGCTCCAAGAAACCTGCTCACTTTCCAGTGCTGGCCTTGGACCCCGATACACTTCATTTCTTATCCTTGAATCTCAACTGCATCCCTTTTATCCTTAACATATTCTTCATTTGACTTCTTGTGCTTTTTAAAACCACATCCTTTCTAAGAAAGCAAATTGTTTGCTTTTATAAAGGAACATTTTGAAATGATTATTTTATGCCTCAAATAATTAGTGTTCAAGGATGCTAACATACAGTGTTTTGTATCTTACCGGAGTCAGGCAGTCAATAAAGCTTACAATGTAACCTTGAAACAAAAATTGAACGCTAACGATCAAAAACAATCATAAACATGATGACAAAAACAGAAGCAAACCTGAGTAGAGAAAGTAACTAATTTTACCAGGGGAATCTGAGGAAACCCAAGAGACCCCTGGGCATTAAATCATCTCTGCTGCCCCTCCTTTGCCCCGCAAACTCTGCCCTGCAGAGTTGGGTGATTGATACCCAACTCCTTACATTTCAAAGATTGAAATTGGGAACAGCACTGCTCTCTGCTGCTTTTTATACTTCCTATATTTTTCACAGGACCTATCATTTGCAAATCCTTCTTAATCTGACTCCAAAAAAGCGTGGTCTGTGCTTCTGCTTGTTCCATTGCCAACACCCTGCTTGCTCTTCAGGGTTCAAGTTCTTTTCCCGTTTATTTTGATCTCTGGATAATTTTTAAATGTTTTCTAATTATGAAAGTAAAGCATTCTGGAAAACTAAATGTACTGAATTCTGATCAGTTCTTGCCAGAGTTTGCAGCAGAGGTGGAGAACTGACTGCAACAGGAAGGAGAGAATCTTTCAGGGTCCTGGAAATATTCCATGTTTGATTAGTAGTGGTGTCAGTGTGTCGGTGTGTGTGGTGCTGGGGGACCAAATTCTGGGTCTGATATGTCCTAGGTAAACACAGCACCACTCAACTGTACCACCAGCCCTGGTTTTACAACCTCTGTGGTAACCTTTGTCAACATTATTGAACTGTAAACCCAAAACGGATGAATTTTTACTGGCAGTAAATTACAACTCTGTTAAGAACTACGAAGCATCCGAGATTTTATCTGAGTCTTATGCATGCTGGAAGAAGACACAAGGCACTGAGGTCAGAGACGAGATTTTATTACTCACAGCACAGGCAGCAGGAGCTATTAAGTTTGCATTGGTTCAAACTGGCCTTCTGTCTCATGGAAATGATGCAGAAACAGGCACTGGGGAAAAATCTGCAAACCTTGAGTTTGTATTATAGCTGAGGAATCCTAAAGATAAGGAACACCAACTTTACAAGGGACTCTTAATCAGCCTACCTTACCCTTGCCCTGGAAAGAGACATTTGATTATCTGAGACAGAAAAAAAAAAAAAAAAAGAACAAAACAACATAAATGAAAAAATCTGCTCTTTACCTGAGGGAGATACTATTTCTAATATTTCTGTATTTCAAGGTTGCTTACTATCCAAGCATCCTTGAAAAGACAGTCTAAAACAAAAGCTGATAGACATACACACACATGCAGAAATGAGAAAAAAACAGGGAGAACTGTCTTCCAGCAATAAACATACACATACATATGCATATGCACATGTATGCATGCGTGAGATGAGAGATAGAGAAGGAGAGTAGCTAGTTTAAACGTGCTAAGGCTGGAACATTCTTGGAGAATGAATGCCAGGTAGGTGATACCTGTTGGTGAGTTTTGAGAGACAGGAAAATAATTGGGAAGGCAGGGAGAAATCTCATGAAACAATCCACTGAAAATTAGAAGAATGGATTTGTTCTATGTGCAAAGGTGGGTCGAGGGCAACCTGATTGGGTTTACAATTTGAAATTTTTACTCTAAGCTCAGTCTCAGTGGCTCACACCTGAAATTCCAGCTCCTTGGGAGGTGGAGAGCAGGAGGATCATGGTTTGAGACCAGCCTGAGGAAAACATCAGTGAGATCCTATCTTAACTAACAAGCCGATGTGGTGGTAGTATAATCCCTGCTATACTTGGTAGGAGGACTGTGGTTCAAATCTGGCCCTTGCCAAAAACATGAAATCCTATCTGAAAAATAACTAAAGCCAAAAAAAAAAAAAAAAAAAAAAAAAAAAAGAGGGCTGGGGGCATGGTTCAAGTGGTAGAGCACTTGTAAGCTAGCGGCCCTGAGTTCAAACCCCAGAACCACATATCTAACTCTTAGTAGACTAGAGTAGCTATTGAGCCCAGTTCAAGGCTTATCATCCCCTTCTGACCATTTTTATCTTGTGCTTCCTGGATGGGTACATGACCCAAGTGTGGTTATTTATGCATCACACACTCCTGGACACACCTCCTGGTCAGGGATTGGCAGGAGTAAAAGGTGAGTCCAGTGGAGTTTCTCCACAGCATCTCAGTGTGGTGCAAACAAGAAAGGTCAAGCTGTTGGCAGCATTCTTCCCAGCAGATGGAAGCCACCTGTCTTCAGGCAGAGGGAATGAGGTCAGGCAAAATGGCAGAGATCGGAGAGAGAAATGACCAAAGCATGGATCTAGATACAGAACAATACATGTGGGAGGGAATGTCAACACAAATGGAGCTCTGCACGAGGGCGAAGCAGTGTGTGAAGCCAGTGGAACATTCAGGGCCTCTTTAAAGAGTTTGCTTATTCAGATTCATGGCAGCCTGGGCAGAACGCCCCTCCCAAAAGAACCGTTATGTCTAGCTACATGTAGGAAAATACAAGCCAAATAGCCCCTTCTGAAGTTTCACTTCCTCAAGTGGTTTCAACTTGGCTTAATTAATATACTATGATGTACACTTAAGATGGTATATCTTTAAATATTTCAGTATAAAAAAATTTGTTCTGGGTGGTGCTGGGGAATCAAGCTGAGGGCCTCATGCTCCTTAGGAAAGTGCTCTACCACTGAGCTACACCTCCATCCCCAGACATGTTTAATGAATAACAAAACTCCAGCCAACTGAGCAGTTTTTTATTTCTGAATTTTATTCTTAATCATTTTATTTGGGTAGAATTGACATGTAACAACCTGAACACGGTTCTAGTACATAATTTGATAAGTGGTGACATATGTAGACCCCTGGGAAATCACAAGGCAATCAGAAAATGAACACATCCATCATCCCAAGCTTCCTGCACCCCTCTGTAGATCACTCCTTCCACCTCTCCCTGCCCTGAGCAATCTTCCTTAATGCCATGCTTCTGGGTAGAGAAAGATAAACAGACAGGTACAGATTAAGACAAAGACCTAACAGACACAATTTTAAAAGCAACTTTGAATATGTCATGTGGCCACAAATAAAATAAAACAAAACGAAAAAGTTTTCTCCAGGTCTACAATGTCCTGATGATTGCTGTGAAGTGCACACACACTCACACACCTGCATAAAGAGAATCTGAAAAGGCTCCGAGGGAAAAGGTTTTCGTACTGTGCCATCAAGAAGATGAGCAGGAAATGCTGAGGGTCTTATTTTTTAACTCAAGAGTGGTTCCTATCTCCAGGGACAATCTAGCAGTTGACATTCCTAGCTCACTGGCTATAATTTGTAATTTTCTTTCTACGAACCCCAAATAGCACACAAGAACCTCTATTTCATGCCAATGCTGGATCAATTTTCCTACAGTACCCCTTTAATAATATTCCCTCCCTATTGAAACCCCTTCAAGGGTCTTCTACTGCCTATGGGATAAACTTGTACTCTTCAGTCTACCATTAAAAGGTACACTTGGTCTTCAACTCTCTTCCCAGATTTATTTACCATAACTGCCACAATTGCAATCTCAGTTTCACCCAAAGAAATGTACTGCTGTTGTTTGAGTGTGTTCCCCCCAAGGTTCACCTTCAGGAAGTTTGGTCCCAGCTGGTGTTGAGGTGATAGACCCTTCAAGAGCCTAGTGCAAACTCCTGGGGGCACTGACCTCAGGAGGGGTTAACTGGTGAGTTAGTCTGGCCTCATGAGTGAGTTGGTTCTTGCAAGAATGAGTTGTCATAAAAAGAGCTGGCTTGGTCTTTCAATGTCTCTGGCGTCCTGCCTCACCATGGGGCTACTCTCTCCCTCATGCTTGTGCTCCTGCTATATGTCATTTGTTATGTTACGATGCCTCAGAGGCCAAACTGATAAGATCACTCAAGTCTTGGGTTTAACTCTCTAAAACTGTGAGCTAAATAAACCTCTTTTCTTTATACACTTCCCAGACTTGGGCATTTTATACAGCAACAGCGAATGGATTAATACATCTACTCGTATGGACTTCCTTAGTCAGGTCTTTGGTGCAGGCTGCAGGCTATTCTCTGTCACCTGAAATGTTCTCTGATCACTTTCCCTTCCAAAATCTTACCTGGTCTTCAAAGTTGAGCACAGCACCTTCCTCTCCATAAAGGCTTCATGAATAACATCTATAGAAATAATCTCTCCCCAAATTTCTGAATACTGAAAAGTGCATTATCTACACCATTTTTAAGTCATTTCTCCATCTTGAACTCTCACCTTTCTATATGCTTCCAACTAGATTAGAAGCTCTTGGAGGGTAGGGACAGAAATCTGGTTCATATACACAGCCCATATTTACATATGATATCTGTGTGTGTATATATTAATCATAGTGCTAAATGCAGAGCATCATGAATGAGCAAATGAATCAGTGGGCTGTTTCTTTAACCCCCTCTGGCAGACAACAATACTTTATGCCAGAGAGGCTGATCCTCGAGTCTTTGGTCAAAAATTATAAGCAGTCTGCTGTGGGGCCAGTAGACACTCAGAGGAAGGCAGAGCGAAGGCTGAGCTTCCCTGGTTTTGTTTATGATTCCTTGCCCTAGTAAGAGCCCTGTTTTATAGACATACCCTAGGCAGATAACTGTCACATTTTTATAACAAACAACAGATAGAAACATTATAAATTGCTACTCCATTATAAATGCTACGGAAAACATGATATTTTTAAAAGACAGCATAAAACTCTGCTTTAAATTTCAAAGATGCAACTAAACTACTTCTAAGTGAAAATACAAGTTGATCATGATAGCTGTAAGACTGCATTTCTAAGACTTAATTATAAAATAGGTAGCTTTTGGGGGGGCAAGAGCAGAGCAGATAATGGGGAGGGTGAATATAATCAAAGTATGTTACATACATGGATGAAAATGTCATAATGAAACCCATTATTTTGTACAATTACTATATGCTAAATTTTTAAAAAGAAAGGAAAGAAAATAGGTACCTTTTTGGCACTTTTTAACACATGGCACTTCAAACTTAACATTTACACATTATTTTAAAATACTATGTGTTTAAGTCTTAGAAAAGCTCTAAAAATACTAAATATGTTTATATGATTTTTACTTACCCTGTACAAGTATTTTCCAAGACTTTTTTCCACCTGGTGCAAAAAAGTAAATTCCAACTTACCTTATATCACACTGTCATAAATTTAAAATAATAGGAATGGAGACTAATGAGGTTTATTAAATGACATTACCAAAAACGCTCACAGCAGGTGAACTGCAGAACAGCTGAAAGCTACTAACCTGAGTCATCTTGTGATTACAAGAAAATTACTTCTTGTCTTTGTAAATCATGGCAGCTTCCACCCTCAAAGAGTGACAGGTGTTTCTTGTGACTTTCAATGTGTACTGTAAATGAAAAGTTGTAGGAGTGACATCAAACAGCACCACTCTTACATGGTGACATGGCGAACCACTCTGCAAGAGGCTCTGAAGAGAACACAGGCCCTACAAGGAAAAAAACAAATAGTAGGTGTCATGTTACATGATAAAAATACTGAACTGGCTGCAGCCAGGTCCACATCTTGACCTATGCATACATTACCAAGAGAGCTAGGAGTACATAGAATGGCTAATACAGGAATGTGCCAGAATTACAAAGGCAGTTTCTAAATCAATTTTTCTTCTTTCTTCTTTTTTTTTTTTTTTTTGGTTGTAGTGGAGTTTGAACTGAGAGCATGTGCTTGCCAGGCAGGTACTCTACCACTTAAGCTATACCCCTGCCCTTTTTGCTTTAGTTATTTTTCCAGTAAGGTCTTGTGTGTTTCTGCCTGGTCCAGCCTAGAGAACTATCCTATTATTTACACTTCCCACATTGCTGGATGACAGGTGTATTCCATGCCACCCAGCTTTTACTGGTTGAGATGGGGTCTTGCAAATTTTTTGCCCAGGCTTGTTCTCAAACTATGATCTTCCTGATCTCTGCCTCACGAGTAGCTGAGATTACAGGCATGAACCATGCCTGGCATTATAAATCAATGCTTAGGTTTTCTGTAAAACACACAGTTCTTTCTCCCAAAGTTAAATTGAATGATTTTATCTTGTTTCTGGAAAAATACCAGCATGGAGAGTCAACCCTGAATTCAGTGGCTTAATTAAATGTATAGTAACTACTTAAGACCATAGTTTTCAATGCCAAAGTAATCAATGAAAACTATTTTCAAAAATGTAGAGGGAGCTCCTCTATTTGTCCAACTGAACCCCCAAACACACATATTACTGGCCTCCCTTAATTTTCCTAGATTATGATCCAAAGTTGCCTCTGACTGAAATGTATGAGTCCTATGGTCTTTTTCAATAAGTTGCTGGGTAAAGATAAAACAGGTCGTATCTATCTGCATAAAGTTGAATTCTGATAAGTCCTTTACTGCAAGTATCTCTGTGCATTTAGTATTGAAAAAAATGCATTTTCTCCTCCTTTACTTCAATAAATGGGAATCTACCATTTGGGCAAACATTAATAACACAAATCTTCTGAAATCAGGGGATGAGTCATGTGTGTGGATTTTCCTAAGTGGATCAGCACCTCAAGCCAGAGCAACTCAGTGTTTAGGGAGAAATAAAAGTATTTTCTGTATTAAGTTAAAAATACACATTCATCTATTTAACAAATAGCAATTGAATATCCACCAAGCAAACACTGTTTCTGGTACATGTAAGGCACTATGGATAAAGATTTAAACACCCCCTACTCATCAGTTCAGTAGCTCAGGATTTAAAATGGTAAACACACAAAGAAATAGAAAATTAAAACTCAGATAGATACATCTTGAGACCATCAAAATTCCCAAACTCATGCCTTGCCTTATTTAATCCTAATCATTATATGATATATAGACATATAATTTTATTAAGTCCATTACAAATTGCCAAACACCATGGCCTTTCAGGTCACTAACAAGTATTGAAACACACATGCCAATGGCCTCCACCTGGTGTGTTGAATATTATGATGCAAGTGTGTGCTGGTATTTTAGGAGCACATATAACCCAGCCTAGAGTGGGAAAGGCAGGGAAGGAGCTCCCAAGGGGCTGACATCTAAACTGAAGCTCACAGGTTGAGTAGAACTCTGCCAAGAAAGGGGAAATAGGTGGTTTTAGGCATAGGAAACAGCAAATGGAAAAACAAAGCAACCAAAGCAATTATATTCTCAATGATCTTCAAGTTAACAGCAATAAAAACAGTAACACAAAATACTCTAATTATTTACTAGGACCAGACCTTGTTTTAAGCATTTAGCATATATTAAGTCACCAAATCTTCTCAATAACTATATGAAACAAACTACTATTTCTCCTCTTTTACAGATAACAAACCTGAGACACAGAGAACACAGGTGACTTTCTCAAGGCTATGTACATAGCTAGGAAATGTTACAATCAGGATTTGAACCCTGAAGGTCTAACTCCAGAGTTCACAATTCCAACTCTGCAGCTGGTGGGAAGAAAGGAGGAAGGGAAATGCAATGGTGGGTAGGAGTCAGCTCATGCAGGGCCGAGTTAGCGCTAGTACTCTAAGGAGTCTGGAACTTATCTTGAACATAATAGGGAGTCATTGAATGATTTCAGCCATTTGACCAGGCTTTAGAAATCTCCTCTGGCAATAGTGTAGACTAGTGTTGCCCAAGTAGGTTCCCAGTGAAGACAGAGAAAGAACCTGGTTAGAACAATATTAAAGATGCTTAGAAGGGACCAAATGCAAGTGAAATTAAGGAGAAAAAATCGAATTGATAAAATTTGGTGACTGACGAAGAATTTAGGCAAAAACCATGCTGCAGATGAAGCTGTGATACAAACAGTGCTGAAAATAGAATGTGACACCCCCATGCTAAAGTAAAGTAGCAGAGAGAATGTGCAAGGAGGGAAAAAAAGAAAATTTCAGTAGGAATCTTCTAAGAACTCTGAAAAACCTTGTCTCTGTGATACATATGAATTATATTTCAAAAAGTTATTTAAATTTATGCAATTGTAGAAAATAGGATATCAAAAGGATTAGATGTTGCTGACTAATTTTCAGATGCCAAAGAGATCGGCCACACTTATTTTATATCACGAGAGAGGTTGTTTATATTTACTTCTTATGTTTTATAATTGTCTGCAGCACTTTCCAGATAGGAACAATGGCTCCCATGAGCTCTGCCATCTTTGCTTGATACTTCAAAGTATAGTATTCAATGAATTTCTACTGGATAAATAGGTAAAGAAAGGAAAAGAAGAATAGGTGAGGGTTCAGGTTTGGACACATTGCTTCTATGGTATCTGCAGGACAGATAAGAGGACATGAAATTCCAGAGAACAGGTTGGGTGAGAGATCATGCAAAAATCATTATTATGCTAGCATTTGGCAGTCATGAAAATAAATTAAATCAAAAGTGATTATGCAGAGTGAAAAACAGATGAGGTTGGAGCACTGAGGGTCACCAACATTTAACCCCCATAAATATTAGTATCAGAGAGGCAGCTAGCTCCCTGCTATTAGAGTATTATCATAATTAAGTGAATTCAAGAAATACCAACTGAGCACATGCTAGGCAATGGTAACATTGGTAGCTATGAGAAGAGCAAAAGATGGGGAGTGGGTCCCCAACTGTTGAGACTCCAGGCTAATAGAGAAAAGCACAGAATAAGACTCAACCACAGTAGGACAGAGCAAGAAACTGATTGATAGAAAAGTACAGACAGCAAACAGTATTTGCTTTTGCAGTTTGGGGTGACACTTTGACTCTGTGACTCCCTATAAATAGTGAGGCAAGTTACATCGCCTTATTAGTATTCTGCATTCTACTCAGAGCTCTTTAATGACCCACCAGAGAGATCACAATGGAAATGGAAGGGAAGGAAAGAACTGGCATTGTTAATTGAAATCCTATCAGCAGAACAAAATCAGGGCGTCAAAAACAAGAAAATATGTGGCCCTGGGAAATATGGCCCTCTCTATAATCCCAACAGGGACTATCAATGTGGAAAGTAGACAGTAGGAGGGGATCTTTCTTAAGAGAAGAAACCAAATATTCCCTAAGAAATATCTGTTTTTTGTAAAAATTTTTTTAAGGATTGCATGGCTAAATGGACTTAATTTAGAAATAGTATATTTTCTCCAAAATAAAAATAAAAAAAAAAAAGAGAGAGGAAAGGAAATGAATGTGATAAAATCTGGGTATGAAATTGAGTGTGTGGTTACAGGAGGATGATAAAAAAAACAGGCAACAATAACCCACCACACAATATTGATCATGAGACCTGCTATCAGATGGTATACCTTTATAGGCCACAGCTAGGCCATATTTGTTGTAACTATATTATAATTCATTTTGACTTTGTACATTAGAGAATGCCAGAAAAAAAACAAGGAAATCAAATATGAGGTATAAGGAAAATGAAAATATAGCATCTAGTTTCCCCTAGGCCTTCCCTTCTGGTGTTAATTTGACAAAACTAGCTCTTATTTTTTTCCTGAGATAAAAGGAATAGGATCCCTGAACAGCAGCTCACAAGATCTTTTGGACATGCAAGGCAATACCAGAGGAGAAGCAAAACATCCATTATTTGTCCACTCTCCTCTCAGGAAGGAAGTTTGGACAGGATAGGGGATGAGGGGTTCCACAATCATTTTACTGATTGTTTCAGAAAGAGCTTTCAAATAAAGACCATGGGACTCAACTATAAAACTATAAATCACATAGTGATTTTCTAAGGAAGGAATTACGGAGGAAATATGAGAATTAATCATATATTAGCCTAGGTTCTCTTCCTATTTTTTTTGGGGGGAAGGGTGTTGAACTCAGGGCCTTGTGCCTGATAGGCAAGCTCTACTCCATTTCAGCCAAGCCCTCAGTACTTTTTGCCTTAGTTTGTTTTCTAGATAGGGTCTTGTGCTTTTACCCAGTCTTGCCTTTGTCCACAATCTGTGTTGCTCAACAGTTTTCAGTGAGTTTCACTGTGTCTTGTTCCTACATAGATGTGATGACTTCAGTATCTCTTAACTTTAAAACCCCAAAACAATCCCCTCCTGCATGACCACAGATCATGGTTTAGTTTCTGCCCTAATTTCATTGCTTCCTTTTATGGCAATGCACTTTAAAAATGCTTTCTCTAAGCATCATGAAACCCCCCAACACTTGAACAAGTGGAAAGGAGAAGGGAAAATTGAAATAAAATAGAGGGAATAGACTTGTTCAAAATATACTGTACACATGTATGGAATTATCACAATGAAATACTGTCATATTAATGTATGCTAATTCAAAATAAAACAAAAATTTTTTAAATGCTGTCTCTTTTTACTGGATTTCCTCTGATCCAATCTGATTTGTCAACTTCAGGTTTATGATCTTTTAAATGATCACAAGCTACCTGTTGGGCCCAGGGCTGCAGCTATGCACCCAGCAAATGGGGTAACCAGGAGAGGGGAAAAAAAA